TGTCAAGGTAATAAAGGTAAGGTAACTTTATTGGATTATTAGGGCCCTGAAGTTCCCCGTTAGGTGGCCAGAATGATAACTATGTTAGCCTTCGGGCTACTAGCCACCTCAGGGTAGAGTAGTTGGTCTCTCTCTGATAGAATGTTTACTTAGAGTGTTGACTGACGCTAGAGCTTCAGATAGATCTTATGTCCGGCCCATGGGACCGTTTTGACTTTTCTGAGTATTTCGCCCCTTGAGCTCTGTTGAGTTTTCATTAGGTTGAGCGTTCTGCAGCCCTTTGTATGGAATAATACAGACTATATTCTTTAGTAGGCTGTGGCTCCTCTGAGCCCTCAGATAGATCTATGCTTACAGGTTGGCCCTCACCAGGGCCGCCTCTGTAGCTGGCCTAGGCTGTGCCAGGGATATTAGAGGCGTTCTGCTAAAATTAGCATTTCTTCCTCTGACCCTTCACTTTGTGAATGTAGGTTTTGGCATCCCTGTGTAATCAGCCTCCTCCCATGGGAGTCGTTAGGCCAAGGCCCGCCCCCTTCTCTGCATTCTGGGGTGACTAGAGTAATGCAGCGTGGTGCAGAGGATGGTTTATAAGGACATGGTAGGCCTCAGTTAGGCCTCCGTGGTATATAAGTCCTTTTGAGCAGGGTTAGGCCGTCTTTCGCTTCACGAAGAAGACTGAGTCTCCTGCCCGACCCTGCCGTGCAGAACTGGCCTACGGATTTAGGCCACCAGTGTAGGCTTCACTAATACCTTGCTGAGCTACTGCTCAGGCTGTGGGTTGTAGGTGGTTGGCTTTCATTCAAGCCCCACTCCCCTAGGTTGGGCACAGATGTTTTTCTGTTACCCCTAGAGCCGCTGGCAGGCCCGCACCCTGGTAAACTCAGGGTGAGGTGTGAGTATTCCCCTGTGATTCAGGGTAGGTCTGAGCACTTCACTCCCAGTTCTGTTTTTATCCTACCTCGCACTACTATGGCTCGGGTCGAGTATGAAGTAAGCCTTCACTTCTTCTTTGGTCGAAGTTCGCTCCCCTGAAGCCAGAGCATTGCCCTGTGCTGACGCCCATGCATAGATGGTAGGCCCCTGACTAACTGGGGCCTCCACTGAGGCAGAGTGACGTATGTTGTACTCCCCTTGTTCTAAGGGTATTAGCTCTCTATGCTGAGTACACTGCCATGGGCAATGTGATTAGGCACCAGGATGCTGTAGGCGCTGTGTAAACAGCTTATCTGCCAACGAAGGCTGCGCCATCAGGTAGTAGGCCTCAGCAGGCCTCCTTGTATGAGCAGCCCCCAAGAGGGCGCTATAGGCTACTTCTCGAGAGAGTTGGTTGGCCTTGGTGGTTCGGGCAGTTGACTCACAGGTGGGTAGTAGGCCTTAAACAGGCCTCTTCGGAGGTGAGTCCCAACATTGTGGGTCATGCTTTAATGCCGCTACAGGTAGCTAGCCGTACTAGGCCTCCTGTGGGTGGGCCCAATAGTTACATTGGTGTAGTATGGTTCCCAACAGTGTTCCTTTGTAGCAGAATTGACTTGCTATCAGCTAGTAGGCCCAACCGGGCCTCCCTGATAGGCGAGTCCCCAGCTGGCTGGCCTTAGCAGGCCGCCTTGGAACTGTCACCCGGACTCAGCTACCAGTTGCTATCAGGCAGTAGGCCCCTCAGGCCTCCCTGAGGGTGAATTCCCACTTAAGATGGTTATCAGGTAGTAGGCCTCACCAGGCCTCCCTGAAGAGACAAGCCCAAGGACGGGCAACTGGACAGCTAGCCTGGCTTACTATCGGGTAGCAGTAAAAAGCTCCCAGATATTATGGCTGTCAGGTAGTAGGCCTCACTAGGCCTCCCTGAAAACGAGTTCCCACATGCTGTGATTATCAGGTAGCAGGCCTCACCAGGCCTCCCTGAGGGTGAGTTCCCCACGTACTATCGCTATCAGGTAGTAGGCCTCTCTAGGCCTCCCTGTAGGTGACCACATACTGTTGCTATCAGGTAGTAGGCCTTACCAGGCCTCCCTGAAGGTGAGTTCCCACAGACTGTAGCAATCAGGTAGTAGGCCTCACCAGGCCTCCCTGAAGGTGAGCTCCCCACATACTGTGGTTGTAAGGTAGCAGGCCTCACCAGGCCTCCCTGAAGGTGAGCTCCCCACATACTGTGGTTGTAAGGTAGCAGGCCTCACCGGGCCTCCCTGAAGGTGAGCTCCCCACATACTGTGGTTGTAGGGTAGCAGGCCTCACCGGGCCTCCCTGAAGGTGAGTTCCCACATACTGTGGTTATCAGGTAGTAGGCCTCTCTAGGCCTCCCTGTGGGTGACCACATACTGTTGCTATCAGGTAGTAGGCCTTACCAGGCCTCCCTGAAGGTGAGTTCCCACAGACTGTAGCAATCAGGTAGTAGGCCTCACCAGGCCTCCCTGAAGGCCAGGCCTCCCTGAAGGTGAGCTCCCCACATACTGTGGTTGTAAGGTAGCAGGCCTCACCAGGCCTCCCTGAAGGTGAGCTCCCCACATACTGTGGTTATCGGGTAGTAGGCCTCTCCGGGCCTCCCTGTAATGTTTCTCTAATGGTGCTGGGTTTATGAAGCTAGTGGCCTCTTGCTATCAGTTTCAGCTAGCCTTATTAGGCAGCTGCTGAGGGCGAGCTTGCGCCCTGGCTCGCTAAAGTGTTTATTCTCTGCTATTTGTTCCCTCCTGGAACCTTTCCTGCCTACAGCCTGGTTTGCCTACCAGGCAGACCTTTTGCTCCCCTCACTGAGGGTCTCTATGAGCATGCGGCTTCCTGAGTCTGGTCAGACGGTCGTAGGCCTCTTGTGAGGCCTCCCGGTTAGATCAGCCATTAGGCCTTCACAGGCCTCCTCAGTGTTTGCAAACACTGGGTTGATCCATGGATCGAGTAGAGAAACTCCCCTCGCTAGCAAGGGTCATAAAGCACTATGCTGAGTCATACTCTCCGGGATATCCCGTCTCTGAGATCCGGGCCGAGTGGTTCACTACCAGCGTCGCAGTCCCTCGGGTTGGATGCCTTACTTAAGGCAAGTGTCCAGAGGCTCTGTCTTCGGACAGACAGGAAGTGGCCAGACTAAGTGTCTATGCTCTGACACCAGGTCACGCCGTCCTGGTGGCATATCGGGGTGAGTACGTTCCCCTGAATAGTGACTGGCTGGGGTTCCTTCGGGTTCCCTAGCCACATTCCCTAGAAGGGACCCCTTCTAATTGAAGTTGTGGTCCCACATACTGTTGCTATCAGGTAGTAGGCCTCACCAGGCCTCCTTGTGAGATCAGGAAGCTAGTGGCCTCTTGCTATCATTTTAGCTGGCCTTATCAGGCAGCTGCTGAAGGCGAGCTTGCGCCCTGGCTCGACTGAAGTGTTCATTCTCTGCTGCTGGTTCCCTCTCGGAACCTCTTTCCTGCCTACAGCCTGGTTTTGCCTACCAGGGGGACCATATGCTCCCCTCATTGAGGGTCACTGTGAGCACGCGGACTCCTGAGTCTGGTCAGACGGTCGTAGGCCTCTCGTGAGGCCTCCCAGTTAGATCAGCCCTTAGGCCTTCACAGGCCTCCTCAGTGTTTGTAACACAAGCACTGGGTAGATCCATGGATCGAGTAGAGTAACTCCCCTCGCTGGCTACCAGGGGGACCATATGCTCCCCTCATTGAGGGTCACTGTGAGCACGCGGACTCCTGAGTCTGGTCAGACGGTCGTAGGCCTCTCGTGAGGCCTCCCAGTTAGATCAGTCCTTAGGCCTTCACAGACCTCCTCAGTGTTTGCAAACACTGGGTTGATCCATGGATCGAGTAGAGAAACTCCCCTCGCTAGCAAGGGTCATAAAGCACTATGCTGAGTCATACTCTCCGGGATGTCCCGTCTCTGAGATCCGGGCCGAGTGGTTCACTGCCAGCGTCGCAGTCCCTCGGGTTGGATGCCTTACTTAAGGTTTTTTTCCAGAGGCTCTGTCTTCGGACAGACAGGAAGTGGCCAGACTAAGTGTCTATGTATCTGACGCCAGGTCAGGCCGTCCTGGTGGCATATCGGGGTGAGTACGTTCCCCTGAATAGTGACTGGCTGGGGTTCCTTCGGATTCCCTAGCCACATTCCCTAGAAGGGGCCCCTTCTAATTGAAGTTGTGGTCCTAGGCCTTTGAGCAGGCCCAGGTAGGCTTTCATTTAACTATGTTTATGGAGGTTTTCCTGTTAGGCTTATAGCTTGGGCTATGACCGTAGGGAATGCTGTCACTGACAGCCCAGTGTGACCTGAGGGTGAGTGGTTCTAGCATTTCATTTGAATTTGCTGGTTCGGACAGTTGTCACTGCCTGAGGGCATGCACTCCCCTCAGCATGGCGGCGTGGGTATATCGTTCCCCATAACGTCGATGACGTATTGTTGAGTTCCCTTCGAAAGGGAACGTCTCAGGTTACAAATGTAACCTTTGTTCCCTGAGAACAGGGAACGAGACAATACGTCTCCCTGCCATGCCTCGGGGCTTGCCTGCCGTACAGTCCCTTCAGACGATAAGGTGATTTGTCATGTTTGCAAGGCGCCCTTATATACTTCCAGGTCGCACGTTAATCATTCACGCTAATGATTCACGGGCTGTCGCCGGTCAATGTGATTGACGTGATTTGATAGTGATTTCAGACACCTGTCACGCCTGAGGCGTTCCCCATAACGTCGATGACGTATTGTCTCGTTCCCTGTTCTCAGGGAACAAAGGTTACATTTGTAACCTGAGACGTTTCTATAGAAGGTGTCTAAAGATATTCAGTTGAAAATAACCTTAGTTTACCCCCAAAAATAATAATTTCAAATAATGAGGACCGACGTTGTTTTGGACCCCATTAAGCTCATTAAATGAACTAAAAGTTAAAACCTTTTTTAAATTATCTTCTTTCGTGTTCAGCAGAAGAAAAATAAGTCATACATGTTTGGAACAATATGAAGTGCGAGTAAATGACGACACTTTTCATTTTTGGGTGAACTATCTCTTTAAGTGACGAGTTTTTCCAACTTACTTCCATAGTCCCTGATTGTGAAGTTTCTGTTCCTGGTCTGTGATGGGGATTTGAAGTAGAATCGGTGCTCTACAGCTGGCATGTCTTTGTCTGTGGCACTGATGATCTGAATCACCTAGAGAACAGATACAGGACAGTGATCTGAATAAAACACCACAGGAAAGAGCTTGCATATTCGTAAAAGCACTTCTAGTGTTCAGAAGACAGCAGTAGTCATTTTGATTGACAGAGCTGACGTGCTTGACTCATCAAACCTCAAAGGGAGCATTTGAGGTTGCTAACTGTCTTTATGACTCAACCACATGGGGCATAATTTATGACTGGTTCGCTGTCAACTTCATAAACCTCTAATGACAAAGTCATACATTCTGAGAGAATGACAGGATTTAACATGGCAGAGAAAAAAAAAATCTAGTATCAATGCTCTTTAGTTATTTTATATTGTATTATAAATGTGTGCAAATAAAAATTAAGTTTGTACTTTCTGACTACAGTCATTTGTTTCTGACTACATTAGAATCACCAAACAGTACCGCAAAAGTAATGATTTGTTTCAAACAGGTTTAACACTTTACAAACAGATATTCCCTCCCCCAGACCCATGCTATTGGCTCCAATGTTGCTGTGTCTTGCTGGTTAGTGTTTACACTTTTCGAGGGCTTATAGTTGTCTCTGCATATTAAACTGGGATAAAAGAAAGTTTTTCAAACTTGACAACATTGTAAGCTTTTTTTAGTAATAACATTTATCATGAAAATATATTATTGTCAGACATTCAGCAAGTAATACGAAAGGAATCATTAATAAAAAAATAAAATAAAAAAGTCCAGCCTAAAAAAAACAGTAATTAAGTTAAGATTTACACATTTCAATTATGAGACATTTTCAAATAAAGCATTTCAGAATAAATTGTGAATTCAGAATAGATATGAAGTATACAAAATGTAAAATATGAAGCTTTTTAAAAATATTTGTTAAATTGCTAGCGTACTTGTAATGTATCATGAATATCTATTAGCCTATTGCCAGATATTTAGTAAATGGTAATACATTGATAATTATAAATTTAAATAATCCAGCTTAAAATAAAATACTTATCTGTTTTTAAGATTTTCACATTTCAATTGTATGAGAAATTTCCATCAAATTGAAATTAATAATAAAAATGGAAAAATGCATCAATTTCTCTTCAAGGGTTTGTGTTGATCAGTTCTGATCATCTTTAGTAAATTCTGAAAAGGCTTTGTTGTGTCATCTACTTCGCACATTTCTGCATATAAGCAAGGCAACTACGTTCTCTGGTATAAAAGACTGAATAGGGAGACACTGATAGGCAGGGTTGTACTGGGAGTAGCTCTCTTTCAGCATGAAAGGAGAAGATCAAGGCACACTTCTCTCACATTAATTCACTGCGGCACCCAACAACAGGCACAGAAACTCAAATTGAAGCACAGGTAGATATTCACACACACATACTTACCTGCCCTACTTTTGCATTTTCACAAACAAACGTCTCATATATAAATGGAAGTTCTGGGGGAAACTCATTGACATCCAGCACCTTGACTGTGACAGTAACTTTGCTGGACAGCAGGGGGTTGTCTGAAAGATCAAACAAGGTATTGTCCATGAATAAGATCAGTGGAAACTGAAAAATATGAGACACATTTCATGGAATACATTATTGCAACAAAAAAAACAACGGAATTTGGCTGGATCGGATATATATTTGCTGAAAACTTTGTAGTTGTGGCTGCATTTCATTAGCAAATCAGCTTGATGTAAAAAATATACATATATAACTTATTCGGTTGATCTCTTGACAAATCTCTTTAATTTTAGCAGGACTGAGCTTTTATTTATGATTTTAAAAATTAAGTTTAAGCCTCTAGAAGTAAAGCACTGTTGTATTTTCATTCTTCTCCACTAGATGGGGGTGTGGTCTTTAGAAATGTGTTCAACCATCTCCATTTCAATGAACAGTTATAATATGCTGGTAAATCTGCTATGCTGGTCATATTGTATCTGTGCATCTGGATAAACACACAATCCACCATACTTACTAACTTTTGTTGCTACAACAGTGACGTTGTGTTCAGCGATTCTCTCTCTGTCCAGGGCTTCACTGACAGACAGAGTTCCTTCAACAGGGTCAATGTCAAAGTGGTTTTCAGAGTCCTTTCTCCACTCAATAGAATATCTACAAACCAATTGATGAAAGACAACAACAACAAACAAATGGATCAATCACATTCAAGGATTATATATATATATATATATATTTGATTAGTTCACTTTGGTATAGATAATTTAAATATAAAATGTTTGGTTATGTTTCATCAGTGATTAATTATAATGCCAGCTAAAGATTGGTAGATATTGAATCAAATGTAGGCTATATTATTTTAACACGCATGAGTTACGTGCATATTTAAAGAGATAGTTCACAGAAAAATGAAAGCGCTTTTCATTTACTCACTGTGCATTTCTTTATTTAGCCGAACACAAAATAAGGTATTTTGAAGAATGCTGGTAACCAGTGATGCCCACTGATTTCCATTGTAAAAAACAACAACAACAAAAAACAGACACTTTTCAAAATATCTTTTGTATCCCACAGAAGAAAAATCCCACATCCCACATATCCATGAGAATATGCAAATTGGTCCCCGCCTTCACTCAATCACACCAGCTCAATACACTCTACAGTCATTTACTGTAGTAAATGCTATGGCAATTGTGAATAGGCTACTCCAGTATACTCGGACGTGACAGCAATGATCAATCATGAAAACAATGATCGCCGTGACAAAAAACTATATATATATATTTTTTTTCTGATTGGTTATTGTGGCATTTTGGGCAGTTGCTGATGTCTGATTGGTTAGGACAGCATGCAGTCCAGACTGGCGAAATAAAGTGAAATGGATTTAACTGCACACAGTGGTGCCTGGAATCACTTGAAAATACAGTTAAAGGCAGACTGAAGTGCCTTGAAACGTGCAGCTTCATTTAATGTGTTGTTGATGTAATTTCCACTGAAACAGGAAGACAGGACAGGACATGTCGAACCTCTCCTTTCTTCAAATAGCCAATAGAGTTTAGTTTATATCACAGGTCAGCCAGAGCCGTTGAGCTCATTAAATTGCTTTAAGAGCTCCTCCATATTGCTTTAAAATATGCCATTCTGTGTAGAATTCAAATGGATCCGAAACATTTTCTGGTCTGCGCCTACTCGCGCATGTGATCCGCTCTTTGCTTCTGGACCGGAGCAGACTGCGTGTGAGCTGCGACAGTTCGTGTGACACTAATGTGAATCCAGACTTCAATCCCCAATGGAAGGCATATTTACACTGTCTGAATCGTTACAGTAATGAAATTAGTTAATAATGGAATATTGTAACGCATTGCAAGAAAAAAAAAAAGAAAAAAAATCCCCATTTCTGATATTAAAATTACTCCATATAGAATTGATGAGTTCAGAAGAGTAGGTTTTCTCAATAATGATATTGTTCTTAAAATAACTCTAATATCTAAATTTGATTAAATACATAAGATCAATCACTAGATGCATGAATCATGCTGTTGTAGAAAAGTATGTATACACTTAAAGGGTTAGTTCACCCAAAAACGAAAATTCTGTCAGTAATTACCCTCCCTCATGTTGTTCCAACCCCGTAAGACTTTCGTTCATCTGCGGAACACAAATTAAGATATTTTTGATTAAATCTGAGAGCTTGATCACTCCTCCATAGGCTTCTTAAGGGATCGAAACTGACCGGCCCAAAAGTTATTAAAGACATCGTTAAAATAGTCCGAGTTACTACAGTGGCTCAATCTTAAGTTTATCAAGCGACGGGAATACTTTTTGTGCGCAAAAAACAAACAAAAATAACGACTTTATTCAACTAATCATTTCCTTCTCTGTTCGGCCGTGATAGTTCACGTAGTGAAACTACGCAAAACGTCTGTTGTACGTCACGCATCACACACATGACCAGCGTCGGCCAATTAGTGAGCCTACGTGTGACGTGCAAACTAGAAGCTTTGCGCAATATAACTACGTTAAATATCACGGCCCACAGAGAAGGAAATGATTAGTTGAATAAAGTCGTTATTTTTGTTTGTTTTTTTGCGCACAAAAAGTATTCTCGTCGCTTGATAAACTTAAGATTGAGCCACTGTAGTCACTTGGTTTCGATCCCTTAAGAAGCCTATGGAGGAGTGATCCAGCTCTCAGATTTAATAAAAAATATCTTAATTTGTGTTCCGAAGATGAACGGAAGTCTTACGGGGTTGGAACAACATGAGGGCGAGTAATTACTGACAGAATTTTCACATTTGGGTGAACTAACCCTTTCAATTCTGCTTACTGCCCCTGTGTATGAGCACTCTGGTCTTTTTGAACCTGTCTGTGTCTGCTACTTTTCAGCCCACAGCTTGACCCTGTTCCTTAGTACAATCAGCCCAGTGGATCATCTGAAAAAGAGGAAGTCTGCGCTTTCCCTGTAGCATCAGACTTTATCAGGGTTACATTCCTGCTCCTTTCTTTCGGTCTCATGTGTCTCCCTACCTGCTTGCCTGAGGTATTCTGCTATTCAAGCAAAACCTCAGCGAGAGTCTCAACTGGATTCTTCTAGTAAGCACTACTCAATACTAAACTTCAACTTAGTAACTTCACAAAATGAATTTTATTTTCAAATCACCCCTCATCAAATATTCCATCATTTAGTAAAGTTCAGCAGGTTCTACATTTTAAAGTGTAAATTGCAGGTTAACCACCACAACCAATTAATGTGTAAATTAAAGTGCTCAATGTGTATATATGTAAAAATTTCTGTCTTAAAATGCGTTAAAATAACATTTATTGGGGTTTCTTCAAAGGTAGCATGTTTTTTACCGTAACTGGGTGATGACGTCATAAAAGGGAGCGCGGGCGGTAATGCACTCACTCTGTGTGTGCCGGTTGAGGGAGAATAAAACGATTCGCGGGTCTCCCGCAAACTAGAAATATCTATGAATTAGGGCTGTCAAATGATTAATCACGATTAATCACATCCAAAATAAAAGTTTTTTTTACATAATATATGTGGGTGCACTGTGTATAATTATTTTGTATATATATAAATACACACACATGCATGTATATTTAAGAAAAAAATATTATTTATATATAAAATATTTATATTTATATATAATATAAATTATATATAAATCTATATACAGCATATACATGAAAATATTTCTTAAATATATACAAGCATGTGTGTGTATTTATATATATAAAATAATTATACACAGTGCACCCACATATATTATGTAAAAAAAAACTTTTATTTTGAATGTGATTAATCGTGATTAATCATTTGACAGCCCTACTATGAATAAAACATAAAAACTAATACATTTTTATTCATCTGTTGCAGAAAAGCAATAAGAACAACTAAAACAAAATAGAAACGGTTTACAGGCAGAGTTTCTATTTCTAACATGTCTGCAGCGTTGACCGATGTAGCCAATCACAGACATATGTGTTGATTTCTTGAACGCAATAATGGCCAATCAGAAGCATTTACGATGGACTCCCCTCACCGCTCAAAACTGACTTTTTGTTCAGTGCTGAATTCTGTATGCTGGCAAATCCTCAAATTATAACAAACATAGTGTATATATTATGAAAGATTCATTGATAATAACAGAGATGTGTGAGATCGCGATGAACTGATGTCAGCTTTTTAGGAATTATTATGGGAGCGCACTTTGCGCGCAGTCATGCCAGACTATGCACGCAGTTATAACAGTGATCAGGAGCATGTATGCTGATGTGTATGGTGGAGACACATAGGCTAACTTGAAAGTATTTGGAGGTACAGAAAAAAAAAGTCTTTTTGCGGGTGGGAGCAGGACAAAACATAAATGTTGCGGGCGGGAGAAAGTAATATAGAAAGTATGTTGAGAACGTCAGTTATAACAACCCACGTATTAAAAAATAGTCGGGTTTAAACCGGGCTCATAATTACAGTTAATGTGTCGGGCAGAGCCGAACCGGGCTCGGACACAGCGGGCTCGGGTAGGGTCTTGCTTGATTTTTTTGGGCCCGATCTAAGCTCTACCTCGGGTAAGTTATGCTAACACTTACAGGCACGAATCAGCCGTTTGTCCTTGGGGAACTTGTGGAGCCTCTCCCCAGTTTTTGATGTATTCGTACATCCCGCACAAACAAAATAGTTAACCATTTTTGCTAGCTAGGTCTCCAATATAACGTAACTCCAGGCCTGGAGCATAGACAGTAAAAGCTTGGAGTACCTTTTATGACGTCACGCCCAGCCTAGTGGAAGGGAGGGGGCGTGCTTAAAACCACTGTAAAACGCACCAACTTTTCATATTATATTCAGCATTTTGGTATAAAAAACATAAAAAAACAATGGTGGGCGGTTCTTATCTTTATGTTTAGTAAGCACATTGCATTATCTTCGTAAAATTTTTTACCTGCAATTTACACTTTAAATAAAGAAAACTTGACTTGGGGGGTTCAGAAGATAAACAGTTATCACCATGTTCAGAATTGCATTATACCAAATTCATATTTTTGCACAAAGTTGCATAATGTACTGTATATCATGTGACATTCAAGTATATCAACTACTATACAGTTCTACAGTGCCTGTCCACTTTTAGCGGCCTTGGTGTCGGAAAAATATATATATATATTTTTAAAACAAACCAATGAGCTACAACATTAAACTTTGATTTGAAGCAAAAAATGTGTTTGTAAATCAGACAAAAGACGAATATATATATATATATATATATATATTAAAAGAAAAAAGGCTAATGGCTTCAATAAAAGTATATTCCATTGATTAACAACCTCATAGCTAACAGTTGGTCTGTCTGAGTTTTCATTAAAAATCTATTCCCCAATAGTATAAATGGTATTTTTACTTCTGGAACCCAGAAGATGTTCGACTTGTTAAATGTACCAGAATAAATATAATTTTTTTTGTATCGGGCTGTCCAAAGATATGACATTGTCCCCAATAAATTAATTAAAATAACTATTTAATTACAAAACTGTATTTCCATCACTCTTTGATTTAAACACGCATGCGGTCACAAGGGCAACAACAATACAGTATACTATACTGCGTAAAACAGCATTATGCTATATTGCTTTTATTCAACAGTGTAATAAACAAGAAGTAAATATTGAGTAACTTACATTTTACACACAACATTAACAGTTATTGTATGTATTTTTGCTCCGCCTACAAAAATAGTTTCAAACAAAGTAAATGCAGAATCAACCGTTGCGTCTCTGAGCCACACATAGCATGCCATTCATGAATGAATCAGTTTAAGTAAATGATTAAATAATCATAAAGAAATCATAAACTCACTTTTCGCCACCTACTGGCAGAACCAACAGTATTTGGAACACGCAAACACAGACAAGCGCAGTGATACAAACGGTAAAATGCCCGTCTTTATCTTGTTGAATGTCCATCCCACGAAAGTCACTTTGTATGTAACAACAATAACTTCATACAACAAATCTGTATATAACAATAAATATTAAAAACAAAATAATCACTACTCATATCATAGCTGAAATAGATACTTCAAAAAACATTTGAATCCACACAATGCAACACTAAATTTAACAAATAGGAAATGAATGCACTGAGGTGAAATATTTAACAAGAGCTGTGGTTTTCTAAATTACTACCACCTCCATTTATGTACGTCCATGAAATATTCATATTATAACAAATGCTTTCATAAAGACAATGTGCTGTCAAGATCTCAGATGCTTTAAACATGATCAACATTGTAGCTAACACTTTCAGGCGCTTAAATGAAGAACTAAATAAAGCAAATGTGCAACATTAAATAAGGTCCACACTTGCAAACTGCACCAGAAGTTTGTCAGAGTGGATTGAATCAAAGCGATACACACTCTGTTCAAACCAAATGTACTGAACCCACGGGACCACACGTTTTTTATTGTTTTATGTTGTCTAGTATACTTGGATGTAAAGTGGTTTTGAGTTCCCAAAGGATGTTGTCTACACATGTATTAAAGGCGGGTAAAATGGTGTGTGCTTCAATTTGACCTACATCTGTGTGTGTGTGTGTGTGTGTGTGTGTGTGTGTGTGTGTGTGTATTGCCCACATACCTTACAGGACTGTTGCCTACATCTAGGTCCTCAGCTGTGATGGCTCCGACGATGATGCCCACTGGTGTGTCTTCGTATGTCTCCATTCTATAAGACAGCCGGCTGAAGACAGGAGGTTCCTCCACATCTAGAACATTCACTTTAACTGTGGCAGTGTCCTTAAAAGGTCCCAAATGTAGGAACCGATGATCAAGAACTGCGTTTGAAGCCTCTACTTTAAAGGTGTAGGCCTTTCTGGTTTCATAGTCCAAACGCTGTAAAATGAATAATGAGACATGGTTAAAAGCCTTTTAATTTACTGATCTATTTATTTTCTTGTCATTTGTGGCAGCAAAAAGTAAGTGTTGTAAAATTGTTTGTGGCTGTATTGTCAAAGAATAACACAACACAACCAACTTTATTCAGGTCATAAAACTATAAAGTAAAAATGGTTTCCACAACAGAGGGCTCATGCAGAGATCAGAAGTGAGGGGAGCGGAAAGGAAAGGCTGCTGCTCACTCTACCCTGGAATCACAGGAGGGAGAATAAAGGAAAAGAAGAAGAAAGCAAGGAGAAAAGTCTTTGGCCAGTGGCTCTTGCATCACTGCGCTCATTCAGCCCTGTAAAGGCAGAAATTGGCACAGTCACACCTGAAAAGCAAAGAGTTGTGGCAACTAAGCTCACACATTTGATTTCGATGTTTTATGGGGACATTCCAAAGACATAATTATTTGATAGCGTACAAACTGTTTCTATCCCAGTGATATTCAAATGGCGGACCTGCTCGGTTCCATCCGGACCGCGTGACATAATTCAAAATTGCGCAATTTTAGCACTTCTACAGATTAAAGTGAGCAGCGCGTCAAAACAACGCAGCGGTTCACACCATAAGCACTCAGGGTCGTTTACGATAATGATCTTACGGCGGTACATCCTACAATATTTTTATGTAAAACCAAATGCGCTTCATTCAAGCCTTTTCCACTCCGTGCGCGTTGCTTCTCTTCCCTTGCTAAAGATGTAAAGAGCCACATTAAGAGCTGCAGATTACATGGTTATTTTAACAACAGTAAACACAGTGAGCAGAAAAATAGATCCTTTTGTTTAAACACCTCATAAAAAGAGGATGCAACAAATACAATTATTTTTATCTGTCATAAAAAAATAACTCTGACATTTAACTAAACCAGGTTTGTGACAAGTTAATGCATGGCACCTATAGACGGGTAGACGGGGGGGAGGGGGGGGGGGGGGGGGGGGGGCATTAAGAACATTTCATAATAAACATTTGGAAAATTATTTTTAGAGATGACAAGGAAGACAAATAAAAAAAAATCTGAAATTACTAGTTAACTTCATGTTGTGCTCATGATGAGAGTTTTTTTTTTTTTTACTTATTAGATTATGTACTGTACATTGCTTGTTTTTAGTAGTTTATTACTTTGAGGAAAATATAAAATGGTCCACACATTTCTTGAGGTAAACCCTGCGCCCCCAGTGTGTTTTCTCAGTCCCAAGGCCTTCTGCGTGTGTAGGTGTCTAAATGTAAAATAAAAATAAATAAATACATACATAAATAAAAATAGCCTGATAAAACATCTGATCTAACCTTTTTATATTCATATCTAGGAAGACATTTACTTTGTTTGGTAAATATTTTAGTAAAAATTTTGTAGGCCTACGTTGGTTAAAGGGATGGTATAATGCCATTTTCACAAGATGTAAAATAAGTCTCTGATGTCCCCAGAGTGTGTATGTGAAGTTTTAGCTCAAAAATACCCCACAGATATTTTTATATAGCATGTTAAAGTTGTCACATTTTGAGGGTTAGCAAAAACGCACAGGTTTTGTGTCTGTCCCTTTAAATGCAAATGAGCTGCTGCTGTGTTAGCAGCTCCGATTACCTCACGCAGACACACACTAAAATGTCAGAAACTGTTCTGCCTTTTAAGTTTAAACCGGAGCCAGACAAAGATGGAGAGACTACACGTAGAATGCAACAGGAAGTTTCTGTATGGTTAGTTGATGAATTTATGTTGCTGATGTGGAGTTAACTATCTTCAATTAGCATATTCTGTCATGATCAGGGGCTAGCACCAAATGTTGGGCCCCGGTCTCAGAACCAAGGGATGGGCCCCTTACAACACCAAGACCAAGGTTAAATTCAGAGTAGCAATTGCATTACCATAGACTAATTTTAACTATTTAACTATTTTAAAATAATTAAATAAGTGACTCAACATTAATAATATAAATGTAAATAATAGCTACATTAAAATGTAGCCTTCAAATATTTTTCAATTTTGAAGACAGCATTTCTGATTTGTCGCTACAATCATACGCTCAACCGACTTCTCTGTGATTGGCTACAGTGCTCAACAGACTTCTCTGTGATTGGCTGCAGTGCTCAACAGACTCCTCTGTGATTGGCTACAGTGCTCAACAGACTTCTCTGTGATTGGCTACAGTGCTCAGCGCTGCATGTATCTAATTAAAGGCAGGGTAGGTAAGTTTGAGAAACTAGCAGAAAACTGCTGGATTGTGAAAGTATCCAACAGAGAAACTCCCACCCCTTCCCTTCTGGGCTCCTTCCAAAGCCACACCCCAAAACACATGAACGCGTGATGCCGACCGCTCAGCTGGAGGACGCGTTTACCAGCGCCGTGCATGGAGTGACATCACCTTTTTTTACCTTGTTTGCCTGCGCTGACTGTATATCCAGGTACAGGTGGTACTGGGAATTTTGACTGCTCTTTCTCTGCCATAATTGTGAGACCTCCTAGCTTCTGGCCGGTACGTGCCTCTCCTCTTTCGAAATGAGCGAGTCAACCAGGTGCGCGCATGTGGGCAGCTCCTGTAGCAGCAGGGGTGGTAGCCATGGTTGCGAGGGAGAGTTACAGTCGCCCAGCCAATCATTGCATTCGTTCCGAATGGAAAGAGTAGCTGTGTTTATTGCAGCCCTGAGAGGACTACAGACGATCGATTTTATACCCTCCTTTTTAGAGTACTTACATTTTATGTATTGGTATATAAAGACAGTTTAAACAAAATTGGGAAAAAAGTGTTTTAGAAACAAACTGCCTACCCTGCCTTTAAGTCTCTGTACTCAGTAAAACCATGCAGAAAGACTGGTATCGTCACATTTGCACAATTTAATTAATTACTTTGTATAAAGTACCATAGGCTACTTTTGACAAGACTACTTCACTGAGGTAAAGGGATAAGTAATAAGTTACACAGTTACACTTTTCTCTCGCAAGCCTCCAAATCGTCGAACTTCACCGGCTTGTATTTGAGACAGGCGTCTATATGAGACAGGCCTTTATCATTTTAATGTTGAGATGTTGTTCATTGAGTGTGGCCTAGAGTCTCTATCTCTAAAAATCTCCAAATGCTCCACGTGAAACTGCGGTCTTCCAACCTTTTACTATCGTGTCAATTGATTTTGATCAATATGCACAAGGGAGAGAGAGCAGGACAGCGCTCGAGTTGTTTGAAGATGCGAGAGTGCGCGCGCGCGGCCGGGGCGCTCTCTCTCTCCCTCTGCTCGTTATGCGCCCTGTCAAGCGCAGCAGTCGATCATCAAACGTTAAACAGCATATAAAAAACCTGCCAAATGTTACCCGAATGAAATGTCGAACCCATGAGGAAATGACTGTGAAAGCTTTGAGGGTGTTGATGGACTCGATCCACTCCATCTATGTTTTGAACATCATTCTGAATCCAATCCATACGTATTGTAGTCTTTGACAAAAATTTGATTTTTTTAGCTTTTCGTTTAAAATGTGCCATTGTGCCTTTTTTTTTTTTTTTTTTTTTTTTTTACAACTTGACCACATTCAAGTGTTGATTAAAAAAGGATGCATGAAGCTACAATAAAATATTTTTTTTTAATGGAAAGAGAGTACAGTTGGTATATAACAAGTATTAAAAATACCTAAATAGGAACATACTGTAGTATGTAAACAGTAAACTATAATGTTATGTTCACTTAAATAATATTTACAAGACTTGCAGTAGTATACAACAACTAAACTAGTAGTTTACTGAGAGTATACTTCAAAGTGTACTTTCATAAACTAAAATATGTGCCACAAGTATTTGACTATTAAACAACATATTATACATATAAGTTCAATTGTAGTATTGTTTTTGCCGTACAAACGAAAAACTAGTTGTAAACCAGTGTACTCAAAGTTTAGTTACACTTAAAGTATACTTTTAAACACTAAAAGTGGGCCAATTTAGTCCCAAATAGTATATATATATGTATATGTATATATATATATATATATATATATATATATATATATATATATATATATATATATATATTGAAATAAAACACCATTTAAACGGAATAGTTATTGTTTTGCTCATGGACGTATTTGTAGCAACAGAAGCAATTCTTTGTCTACATTTTTTGACATCACTAAAAATGATAGATATTCAGCATCTACATCAACAGATTTTAGATTTGTAAAAAAAAAAAAAGAAAAAAAAAAAGGAATAATTAATTTTCAGCACACCCCTGTATAAACCATTCCAGACCAGAGTGCAGTGTGTTGTTCTGAAAGAGAAACTTTTAGTGCACTGGGGTTGGTTAATGAGTGTATAAAGAACAATTTGTACCAAAACAATACACATAAGTCTTCCAGAACAGCTCAGGGTATATCATTTCTCAACAATGTTAAAAGAGACATTTTCATAAAAAAAAAAAAAATAAAAAAAAAAGATTACAAAGACAACTTACTGTTGTCATTGTCAGCCAAGAATTTTTCAAAGACCTCAGTGCTACTCAAAAAGCATCAGCTTCATGTCTACATCACACTGCTGTTCTACGGGAGGTCTTGTCATTGGTGACAGCATGCAACAATGATGTCTGCCATTGTCATTTCAAGCTAGTGTTGAGATACGCGTCTGCCTCGCAGGCTGAGCTAACCATAGTGCTGACCATGCTGAAAGGCCTCAGACATGACAGGACAGAGACCCAGCTGGCCAATCAGAAGCACACAGAAGCCTCGATTTAGCAACTTTTGGTCACAGTTAAAGACTGTAGCATTAAAACTTAGCTCACAAATTATGACCTGATAAACAATACATCAGTATCATAGTTGTTTTAGTCTGGTCTATATTAAAAAAAACATTCATTTTAGTATAAACATGTCCTGTTTCTTGCCATTGTGTCCTTTTATGCCTCTGTAACAGAGATTACATTGGACACCTTTAGATGCCACTGGTAGTTGTTTCAGAGTCTTCTGGCTCTTCCTCTGA